TAGCTGACTTTGCAGCTGCGTCAGCTTCTTCATTCCCTTTTATACCTACATGGCCTGGGACCCAACAAAATTTTACAAAGAAATTACTCGCAGTAAGATGGCAAAAGAGCTTACGAATTTTAATCACTATAGAGTGAGAACTAGGTTCACATGAAATCAAAGCCTGAAGTGCACTAACTGAGTCAGTGTAAATAACACAGGAACGATGACCTTTCCTATTTATATATTTAAAGCTAAATGAATAGCATGCAGCTCTGCAGAAAAGATAGAAGAATTCAATGCAATTTGTTCTGCCACAATTTCATCCTGGCAGACAAAAGCTGAGCCAACGTAATCATCAGATTTAGATCCATCTGTATAAATAGGAATTAAATTCCTGTCATGGTGTTGAATTTCTGCAAAGTGCTGCCTGTAGACATAATCTGGGGTAAATTCCTTTGGAAATTGCTTTAACCTAGAGTCAACATTTATCACAGGAGTTGACCAAGGAGATATACTACAGATCTCTAGCTGTGAAATGTTGCCTGTGTTCAGGTCAATCGTGCTGCTCACATTCTCCATTCTTATGGCTAATGAAGGGACACTGCTTGGGCGAGCTTCAAATAACCTTTTCAGCTGAGTATCTAATACTGTACAATCAACTGAAGGTTTAAAGTAAGATTTCTGTTTTATATAGTAGAATAGAGACAACTGTTCTCTCCTGAGAGATAGTGGAGGCTCATAAGCATCCACATACAAACTTTGTACAGGGGAAGTTTGAAAAGCGCCAGTGCACAAACGTAGTGCTTGATGGTGGATTGGAATCAGCATCTGAAGAGTAGATTCTCGCGCAGAGCCATAAACAATGCAACCGTAATCCAGCTTAGAGTGGACAAGGGCCCTATAAATCCTGAGCATACAAACTTTGTCTGCTCCCCAGGATGAGCAGCATAGTACCTTTAAAAGGTTTAGAGATTTTAAACATCTAATCTTCAGGTTGCGCAAGTGTGGCAAAAATGTCAGTTTTGGGTCGAAATAAACACCCAAAAACTTAGCCTCATTCAACATTGGAATTTTATTGCCATTTAGGTGAATTTCAGGATCTATGAGCAAACCACGCCTTCGGCAAAAGTGGATGCACGATGTCTTCGCTGCATTAAACGTAAACCCATTGGTCTTGGACCAATCATATATGCGATTTAGGGAAGTTTGAAGTTGTCTCTCAATGAAACTGATATTACTAGACTGACAGGAAATCTGAAAGTCATCTACATACAAAGAGTGTTTCATACTGAAAGGGAGACAGTTAGCTATGCTGTTAATTTTAATTAGGAACAGAGTGACACTCAATATACAACCTTGAGGAACACCTCCTTCTTGTGTGAAGAGCCTAGATAAAGCGTTGCTCTAAGAGATACATTTTCTCTAAGAGATACATTAGACGTCTGTTTACCATTCTCTCGAAAAGTTTACAGAGACAGCTCGTCAGAGAGTTTGGTCTGTAATTAGAGGGATTCTTGATATCTTTACCTGGCTTGAAAATGGGGATAATGATAGATAGTCTCCAAGAGTCAGGAAAAGTATGTTCTGTCCATATTCTGTTAAACAGATGCAGGAGATTACAAAGGGAAGTGTTTGACAGATTTTTAATCATGCTGTAGTGGATTTTATTTGGGCCTACAGCACTATTCCCCGAGCGAGAGATTGCTGTATGTAATTCAATTCTAGTGAATGGCACATTATATTCCTCATTAGATAAGGAGTAAAAGTTTAAACACTGTTTTTCTCTTTGGGCTTTATAAGCTTGAAAATTCCTTGAATACATAATATTGCTGGATGAAGCAGAAAATGTTTCACCCAATAAATCAGCAATACCCTGTATATCGCTGATTATTGTGCCATTATTTTCCAGCATGGACAGAGAGTGAGAAGCATATTTCCCATTAATTTTATGGATTTTATCCCAGACTGCTTTTGAGCTAGTGGAAGATGTTATGCTAGAAACATACTTCCTCCAAGAATCCCTTTGGCTTTGCCTTCTTATTCTTCTGGCATTTGCCTTTGCTTTTTTAAAAGCAATCAAATTTTCAGCAGTGGGGTATCTTCTGAAAATCCCCCATGCTTTCTTTTGTGCTTTAAATGCTGCCTCACAATTCTGGTTCCACCATGGTTTCGGATGTTTTGGATATCTAGTTGATGTCTTCCCCATTGTTTTTTCTGCTGCCTGAATGATACTCGAAGTGACAACCTCAACTGCATCATTGATATCAGCAGTATTGACCATTTCCTCAGTGATGTTAGCCAAAGTGGAAAATGAAGGCCAATCTGCCGTTTCAAGTTTCCAGCGTGGTGGACGGGCTGTTTCACAGCTTTCTCTGCCTCGATATTTTAGAAATATTGGGAAGTGGTCACTAGAGAGTGGATTAGATCCAACCTCCCATGAAAATGCTGAAAACAGGTTTGGACTTGCTAATGATAGATCAATGGCAGTGAATGTTCTTGTTGGGGCATGAAAGTACGTCACTTCTCCCGTATTAAATAAATAGATTTGCTGATTGCCTATGAATCTTTCAACGGTCCTGCCTCGACGATTAATGTCGGGACTGCCCCACATCGGATTGTGACCATTGAAATCACCGAGTAACAGGAACAGAGTTGGCAGCTGTTCAACTAATGCATCCAAATCATCCTCATTGGCTCTGACGTCTGGTGGCAAGTATATAGAACAAACTGTGACAGTTACGCCAATTGAAATTTTGACTGCCACAGCTTGCAAATCAGTGGTTATTTGTATCGGTAAGGATGGGATGTGGTTTGAAACCAGGATAGCCACACCCCCACTGGCACGGTTGTGGCTATCTTCATCCTTGCGATAGAGATTGAATCCTTTTAAAGAAATATTTTCTCCAGGTTTTAGATGTGTTTCCTGGAGTGCCACACAGAGAGATGAGGTAGATGATGTCAAGTGTTTAATGTCAGAGAAGTTGTTGCGGAAAAATTAAGGGACTCATTTGCATAACGTGTCGAGGGCAGCGACAGTATATAAAGCCGTTGCTAAAATGCTGCATTAATCCATTCATCATGCCGAAGGCAATAAGCAAGAATATACGTTTGCTAATCATGCATCATCACAAAGAAGGATGCAGTTACCAAGAAATTGCTGATATGCTGAGTGTATTGACACGAGCTGTGTCGCACATCCTTAAACTGTACCAGTACAACAGTTCTGTGTAGCCTGGAAAGGCGAAGGGGCAACAAGGGACGACAACAGAAGATGACGCCCGTTTAAAGGACAGCAGTGAGGCCAGGCCTTTTTCCACTGTGTCCATGTTGAAAAAGAAATTGAATCTTGGTATATCTGTAGATACAGTAAAACAGAGGTATGTAACGTTTGTAGTATAATATTATAACCTTCCAACGAAATGTATTTCTGGCAGTTCATTATATCCATAGAAATATAACTTTATTAATGTGTTCTTGCATGTACAGAAATGTAGGAAGCAGGATAATACATATGTGCTTTTTACTATATTTATAGGTTGAGACTATTCGATCTACACTGAAGGAGGGCAGCCAAAAAGCAGTTTCTTACAGTCAACAACCAGTTTGATCGGCTGGGGTTCGCCCAAACATATTTCAGTTGGGAAGTGGCGAACTGGGCCAAGGTCGTTTTAACTGATGAAAAGGTATTTTGCTCGTCGAACAGCAGGACCATGTGAGTGCGTCACCCACCCTGCACCAGGTTTAACCCAGAACACGTGTGGTGCACCCAAAGAAGCAGTCGCTTCTCCTTAGGTGAGTTTTTTAAATTTCGTGTATTTATGTCATTAATGCTTTGAACATGACAACATATTGTCATGTTCATTTTATAAATCAATTTTATTAATGTTTTCTGTTTTACAGGTGTTTGGGAATGAATGACAGTGGCAGGTCCCGGGGAGTTGGTGCGTATAGACAAGTGTTTCCCAATGTGGGGCCCACGCCCTACAGGGGGGCAATTTAAAAATGGACTCGACACGACTTTAACCCTTTCGCTTTGGGTTATTTAAATGCAATGCTAGATATCGGTGACAAATTTAACAAAAAAGGCATTTTCTTGAAAAAATGCTGTAAATAATTATTACCGTGTTTCCCCAAAAATAAGACAGTCTTATATTAATTTTTGCTCTTAAAGATGCGCTAGGTCTTATTTTCAGGGGATGTCTTATTTTTCCATGAAGAATAATTCACATTTACTATTGAATAAAAAATTCCCAAGTCTAACTTAAACGACGTATATCTGGTTGTGACGTACTGAACTTACGAAGTTCCCATGCTGGAGTAAACTTTCCACTCTCACTTCAACTTAACCTTTTCATAGCGTCGACATTGGGCTCAATGACCAATTAGTGCTTACTGAACTGTATGCAAATGTGATGGGGCATGATTCCCGGCCGACCAACTAGCGATCACCAGCCATAACATTGTTCGCACCTAATTGGCCCAACTCAACTTCTGTAGTGTTTCACATCATTTAGTTGGTCACATTCATCATTGATTCCTTCACATTCATCACATCATTCCTTTAATTGCCTTTCTGATCCTCTCAGGTTTCAGACTTCCAGGGCCAACTGGAACATTTTTGCCAACTACATATCCAAGTACTCTGTTTCTTTTGATGTCCACGACTCAGTTGAAGCTCGTGCCAGTATTAACAAGAATATCAAAATAATCTCTGATGCATGCAACAGCACCATTCCGAAGGGCACTAGAAAGGTTAAGAGTGTACCTTGGTGGAACTCCACACTCTCTCAACTTAGAAAAACCAACATCTTGCTTCGTTGGAAATTCCAAAATACTACCACCGAGCCTGAAAGGACTCAGCATAAGCAAATTTACCTGGATCATCAGAAGACATACAAGGCCAGCATCAGGGAGGCGAAGCTTTCCTCCTGGAGGGAATACTGCACGCAGGCTTCCAACAACCCATGGGGCTTCCTGTCCAAATGGTGCACTGGAAAGCTTAAGGCCAGAAGTGCCTTTACCACCAGGCCTGTAAATGGCATTCACACTACAGATCTACACTCCACTATTGCCGCCTACTTCGATACCATTTGCTTAGCAGATGATGACAACGAAGACAGTCCCTGGCATAGCTATATCAGGAATTGTGTATCAAATCCCATTCACACCAACAACAGTCCTCTTCTGAACTTTAACGAGATAGACAAGGTCATCAAAAGTCTAAACAAGAGGAAAACACCTGGGATCGACAACATCACGCCGGAAATGGCGCAGCAAATTTGGCATCATTGTCCTGAACACCTAATAGCAATATATAACAGCTGCATTCAATGGGGAATATTCCCATGCACCTGGAAAAAGGCCAAAATGGTTCTTATTCCAAAACATGGCAAGCCACTTGACGTTAGGCCCATATCTCTCCTGCCAGTGCTCGGGAAAATTTTGGAAAAACTGGTGGCCAACAGGATTGGATGGCACCTGGAAGCCACAAACAGTCTCCACCCACACCAATACGGTTTCAGGAAACAGCACTCTACATCAGATGCCATCAAAAACGCCACTTCCGGCGTTAATCAACTGCTTATCAATTACAAGTATGTCCTGGGCATCGGACTTGATATTAGCAAGGCGTTCGACAGTGCCTGGTGGCCACTAATTCTCTTCCACCTGAGGAAATATGGTTGCCCTGCCAATCTATACAGCATTGTCAAAGACTACCTCTGTGATAGGACTGCCACAATACAATCAGGAAGCCTACAGTTCGAGAGAAAGGTCAGCAGGGGCTGCCCTCAGGGCTCTGCGTTAGGCCCACTGCTGTGGAATGTTCTTTTCAATGAATTTCTAAACCAAGACTTTGGCCAGCACTGCTCTTTCGCTTACGCTGACGATGCCCTTCTACTTCTTGGTGGAAAATCCAGGATCGAGCTTGAACAGAGAGGCACCGCCATATTAAATAAAGTTGTCCAATGGGGCAAGGACTATAAACTACATTTTAATTCAGACAAGACTAACGGCATCGTATTTAGCAGGCCTGGTAAGCCACATCTTTACAAGCGTGTTCCAACTATCAAGATGGATAGTAGCAGCATTAAGATTACAAAAACAATGAAATACCTGGGAGTCCTTCTGGACCACAAACTGTCCTGGGTCCCCCACATTCAGCATATAACTAAACATACTGGACTCATTTTTCATTCCTTCGGCAAGATTGCTAAGTCCAGCTGGGGGCTTAACTCCACTGCTATGAACTTGATATACGACATGATTTTTATACCAATCATTACCTATGCGAGCGGCACCTGGGGCCACGCTATCCACCATTCCCATAATAAACGCAGACTTCTTTCTGCTCAGCGGCAGGCACTTCTCTACATTGCAAAAGCCTACTCTACAGCCCCCACTAGCAGCCTCCAGGTCATCACAAGAAAACCACCCATCGATCTGTATATTACTCTCTGTACTAAGAAATGGAAAATTAAGCACAAAGAAGAAATCACCATCAACTCCAACTGTATAAATCCCATGGACATTGAGCAACACATCCCGTACTCT